TTTCCAGGCGGCCGCATGCGCTCCCCGAGCCCAGCTCCGCCGGCGTCCCGCCCGCGCCGCGCTGTGCGCCCGCCTTTAGCCTCCCAGGAGGTCCCGGCCGCCGGAGTCGCGGGTTCCTACCTGGCGTGGTTGCCCAGCCGGGCCCCGGGAGCGTGTCCTGATTGGCTTGCTCGGAAGGCGGGGACGGGACTTATTTGAGCCCAGGACCACTTCCTGAAGCGCGGGGCGGGAGGTTACCCGCTGCCTGGAGTTCTGTGGAGTAACTGGGGGTCGGTCGGAGGCCGGCCGTTCAGTTTCGCCGCAGTTAGGCGCCGGTTTCCATCTTGGCACCACGGCCCCGTTCTCCAGCCCCAAGCCCGGCGCGGCTGCCCGGGGGGCTTCTTCAGCCTCCTTGACGCCGCTCCAAGGGGCACCTACGTGGCCGTCGCCTGGGTGTCCAGCCAGGGGCCTGGCTCCGGGCTTCAGCACTCTGAGCCGCAGTAAGAAGTACCCGAGCCCTCCCGCGCCCTGACTCCCTCTCAGAACCGTCGAGACCTGGTTCAGAGCGGCAGCCTTGGACCTCAGACTAGACGGATCCAAGAGGCTCAGCCCCGGCATCTCCTCAGACTGGGCTCTGCGTCGTCTCGAATATGTCACCCACCATCTCCCACAAGGACAGCAGTCGGCAACGACGGCCGGGGGCTTTCAGCCACTCTCTGGATATGAAGAGCGGCCCTCTGCCGCCGGGCTGCTGGGATGACACTCACCCGGACTTGGTGGGCGGAGAAGGGGACAAAGAAGCTCTTCTTTGGGGCACCGGCGTCGATGACTTCTCAAAACCCCCCCGGAGCTGCCAGGCCGAACTAAGCAGCATTTTGCTGTTGCTTTTTCTTTACGTGCTCCAGGGCATTCCACTGGGCCTGGCGGGAAGCATACCACTCATTTTGCAGAGCAAAAATATTAGCTATACAGATCAGGCGTTCTTCAGTTTAGTCTTTTGGCCCTTCAGTCTCAAATTGCTCTGGGCTCCATTAGTTGATGCAGTTTACTTTAGGAACTTCGGCCGTCGCAAATCTTGGCTTGTCCCTACACAGTATGTACTGGGAATCTTCATGATATATTTATCCACTCAGGTGGACCGTTTGCTGGGGAATACTGACGGCACAGCCCCCGATGTGGTTGCTCTCACAGTGACATTCTTTTTGTTTGAATTCCTGGCCGCCACGCAGGACATCGCGGTGGATGGTTGGGCATTAACTATGTTATCCCGGGAGAACGTGGGTTATGCTTCTACTTGCAATTCAGTGGGCCAAACAGCGGGCTACTTTTTGGGCAATGTTTTGTTTTTGGCCCTTGAATCTGCCGACTTTTGCAACAAATATTTGCGGTTTCAGCCTCAACCCAGGGGAATCGTTACTCTTTCAGGTATTTACAGTAGCATGCTGTTAGGTTATTTTATGTTTATGAATCCTTTTGACTGTGCGTGACATTGAAGGGAAGCTCATTACTTAATTTACTGGAAATCATTTTATGGGAGATGACCTGGGGTAAGTTTTATGTTCCACTAAAATGAGCTTTTTCTGTCTTAATGACTGCATTGGAGTAGTCATAATCTTTCAGTACCCAGTAAGCAAGGAGAGGCAACCTGTGCAATAACATTGATGTGGAATGGCAAACACAACTCAGTCTAGGGACCTGTTGCCTAATACACAGATGCACATTTTTTAAAAGTACGGCTAGTGTGAAGACACAAATCCAGCCTGACACCTGTGGTTCTTATTTTCCTTTTTTCTTTCCTTGGATTGAAGTTTCTAGCTCCAAGCTTTCTGGTCCCTTTCTAGACCCTATTCTTATACCAGGAGTCTTCATTTAGCCCTCTTGTGAAAGGAATAGAGTTAATTTATTCAAACATTAACTAGTTGACTGAGAGTTCTAAGGGCCTGCTATAAAGCAGCGCCCAAACCACAAGGAATGGGAGAGGTACACGTTTTAGGGGAGCTCACAGTTGCTGGTTATTAACTGAGTGTGAGAGTCAGGCTTCACGTTGCAGATATTTGACCTTGTTGAATTATAAGATTCTGTGAAGTGGGTAAATGGAATTACAGAGTGCAGAACACCGAGTGAAAATGCACTGAAGCAGCAAAGTACAAAAAAGTACAGGACAGTGCCTACGATGTTCAAAGTGCCTGAAGCAATAATTGTGAGGACTGGCTGTGGGAAATAGTGCTAATAGAAAGGTAGTGACCAAGTTAGTAAGATTTCTTTTAAATGCTATGAGAAAGAGTTTGAAGAAATTGGATGTAAGTTCTACAAAATTTCCTCTTTTTCTGCATGGGTAAAGTACATGCCCCGGTAAGGTTTAAACTTTCCTAACAACTAGGAAACAGAAGTAAAATTGACAATATCAGTAATAACCACCATCAGGAATATAGCAGAATTCTTCATTCTGGTAGTGATGATGAATTTAAACAGCTAAACTTTCATCTTCCCAGTACTAGATTGGGATGCCCCACCAGGGTAAATGTCAGGGGTGGTGAGGGAAATGTAAGAGTATAATATTTTGGGCGTGGCAATGAGGGAGGGATTCACAACGGAACTACTCATTCCCAGAAATCCCCGGTATGCCTCTACACCTCATATGGGACCTGCCTTTCTACCTCTTCAAACTGCTAGTGAGCCACTACTACTGATGAAATGATAATTGTACTTTTCTTCAGTTGGTTTGAGGCCAAAAGGGTTTAGAGCTCATTGCTCTGCAATAAATAGATTTGTCTCTGAATGTTCTGGGGTCCCACCCCTGCTCTATGGATAAATCTCTGCCTAAAAATAATTTGTGACTTGCATCAAATTGGCACCTTGTTGCTTTTTATGTGTCTTGCTTTTCATTGCGTACTGGACTGTTCAGGCCACCAGAGAAGACTAATGAGATGATGTGTTGCTTAACATAGGAAAGCCTCAGTAGAGAAATTAAGATTTAAGAGACCACGGGAACTAAATTACTAACAAGGTAAAATATAACTTTCTCTTAAGTATGGTATAAGAGGGATGGATAGAACAGCATTCCCGAGAATGGCATTCAGGAGCCATTACAATTATACCCTCTCACAGCTCTTCCCTGATGGGAAGGTCAGAATTATGCCATTGGAGTTTTATTTGTACTGACTGATTATTTTGAATAGCTGTTTATTCTGTGGAATTTGAACTTTGTTCTCCAGGAAATTGTAGAAATAGCTTACTATTTAGAAGAGCTTACTATTTTATATCTGTAGTGGACTGCTGTTTCTGGCTTCAACATTTTAGTAAGTTAAGAGTTGAAGAGTTTCTGAATTTTCATTTGTCTCTTTATGTCTACACATATCACATTTGTAGGCTTGTACTTTCTGGAACTTAGTGTAACTAAGAAAAACTAGTGGTTTTGAGGAACTTAAAGAACATGGAAATAATCATGAAGGAAATAAAATTGTTTAGGTAATTAAAAAAGAGCCAAACATTAAGGCAGATTCCTGGAAAATCAGGAAATTAAAAATAGGCATAATTTTTTGGTGAAATTCTAAAATATGTTCTGTGATTAACACTTTGAGTGTTACAGATACGTGGAGATGGAACATACTGAGAAAGAATTGTTTTTTGCCATCTAGGAAGCAGTAATCTAAATAGTAAATATGGAACAAGGAGGATGGGGTGAGAACAGAATCCGTTAGAAACAAAACCATGGTTATGCTGAGATTGGCTTTGGTCCCTTAAAGTGTCCAGGACAGTACTGAACTCAGAAGTGGGCTTTTTCTGTTCTGCCACATTTGGTTTTCAAGGATCTTTAGTAGCAAAAAGGGATGACTTTTTAAGCTGCAAGAACTGATTAATCTAGAAGAACATAGAGATGAGAACATAACATTTCATGACTTGAAAGAATCACATATTTCAGTTCCTTTCATTCTTATAGGTGAAGTAACTGCAGCCAAGTGGCTAGTTAAAAGGTAGAGATACCTACAGGTTAGGTGTCCTGATTCCTTAAATGTAATACGTGCATAATGTAACAATACAGTGGAACCTCTGTTCTTGAACTTAATTCGTTCCAGAAGGCTGTTCAAAAACCAAAGCATTTTTTCCCATTAGAAATAATGTAAATAGAACGAATCTGTTCCAGGCCCCCAAATGATTCCCTGTTTTAACCTTTTTTATATACAGTACATGTTAAATGTACTGTTTAATCTAGAAATAAACACTTTAAAAACAAAAAGGACATGAAATGTAAATGAAAATTTAACAAAAAGGAAATGTGCAGTAAAAACTGAAAATTTAATAATAAGCAGCAACAAAAGCAAAAAAACACAAATATTTACAGCACAATTTTCTGAGATGTTAACAGCAGTAAACTTCTGAGATGTTAACAGCAGTAAACTGACTCATCTCTGTGTGTTTTTTTCTTTGTCGCCTGAGTCAGGAGTATAAGTCAGTTTACCGCTAAATCTCACGTTGTTGTTAACATCTCTGTATAATAGTAAAGTATGAGTTATTTTAAAAAAACAAACCAACACGAATTCATTACCTTAAAAGCTAATCTCTGTGTAAATATACCAAAAACCAAACCACTAACGTTACCTTAAAAGCTAATCTCTGTATAATAATTTAAAAAGTACGCTTTAGCCCTGGCCAGTGTGGTGCAGTTGTTAAAGCGTTGGGGAGGCAACCAATCGATGTGTCTCTCTCAGGTCAGTGTCTTGCCCCTCTCTCTGTACCCCCTCCCACCCTCGCACTCTCTCTCAGAATCAATGGAAAAAATATCCTTGGGTAAAGACTAACAACAGCAACAACAAACAAAGTAAGCTTTATAAAAACAAAAACGTCCATTACCTTAAAAGCTAATCTCTGGGTAAGGTTGATATAAAATCTTTGAGTTTAGCTTCCTTTTTGCCTTAAATGAAACAAGTTCATGAATTTGGTGGATCTTACATATCATTATAGACAAATGGAGCAAATTTGAACTTATTTTCAGTTGTTGGAGCCCTAGTACTAAAGTGAGATAAGTGGAGGAATACTGGTGTATTCAAGAGGGATTAGATATTAGATATTAAAAGCTGGAGCCCACACCATAGAAGGAAGGTCTTAAAGCCATTTTTCTTTTTTAAAGCAAAGCAAAGGAGAAATGGTGCTATGTGTGGTCTTTGTCCAGTGGAGAACTGTGGAATTGCTTTTGTGTGGAAAAATCCATTTACAAAATGCACGGTGAACAAAAAAATTATTTTATTTTATTTGGCATGACTTTTACTCTGACTTTCACTTCTAACTTTTATTGAAATTTATTTAGAGGCCAACTGAATTAGCCTGTAAGAGTTCTTTTTCGATTCTTTAAATTATCTTGACCTACATATCTTATTCCTACCACAGTCTTAGAACTTTTGCATTTTTAAATTTTCCATTCATTTTTTAAAACTTTTTATTTTAAAATAATTATGAGTTCACAGGAGGTGGCAAAGAAATATTTAGTAAACTCCCCAGCCTCCTCCCTTAACATCTTAGATACTATAGTACGATATCAAAACCAAAAAATTGACATTGATACAATCTATAGAGTTTATTCAGATTTCACCAGTTATACATGTACTCATTTATGTGTGTGCATAGGTGTCTGTGCATGGGTGTGGTATATGTGGTTTCATCACATATATAGCCTTGCATAACCACCACCACCACAATCGAAATACTCAACCATACAATCATCACAAGACTCCTTTATGTTGTCTCTTTATAGCTATACCCATTTCTTCCTCTCCATCCCTAACGCCTAGATGCCATTAATCTGTTTTCCATCTTTATAATTATGTTATTTCAGAAATATTACCTAAATGAAATCATGCAGTATGCATCCTCTGGAGATTGGCCCTTTTCATTCAGCATAATTTCTTTGAGGTTCATCCAGGTTGTTGCATGTAGCAATAATTTGTGTCTTTTTATTGCCGATAAGTATTCCATTTGTTAGACATATCACAGTTTATTTCACAACTCATTTATTGAAGGAGATTTGAGTAGTTTCCAGTTTTGGGCTATTGCTGTGTGAAAATAGGTCTTTATTTCTCAGAGATAAATGCCCAAGAATGCAAATGTTGGTTTATGGTAAGTCCATTTTTAGTTCTGAAAGGAACTGCCAAAATTTTTTGCAGGCAGCTATTCCATTTTGTCTCCCTACAAACAATATATGAGTGTTCCATTTTCTTTGTTTCTTTGCCAGCATTTGATATGATAATTCCTTTGCTTTATTTTCCCAGTTCATTGTATTGATGGGATCTTTATTTTTCATTTTATTGCACTGTCCTATGTTTTGCCTTAAATATTAGGCACCTGGGTGCTAGCTATTATATCCTTCTTGGTTACTGGTGAATTGTTACATGCTCTTAATTTTTGCATTCATGGGAGCCCTAGGTAAGGTTTAGTAGCCACTTCAGAGTCTTTGCTCAAAAATCATGTTTATGAAACTTGAACATCAGCTTTGACATCTTGATCATATCATAGTACACATCATACATAGTATAAATCATAATACTTTTTTTTTTTTTAAATATATCTTTTTTGATTTCGGAGAGAGAGAGACAGAAACATCAATGATGAGAGTCATTGATTGCCTGCAGCCCGCAACCAGGGCATGTGCCCTGACTGGGAATCGAACCCCGATCGCCTGGATCGTAGGTCGATGCTCAACCGCTGAGCCACGCCCGGCTGGGCAATCATAATACTTTTGTAGATAAATACTTAAATCAAAATTAACCAGAATGTTAATAATGGAATATTTTGATTCTTTTTTATAATAATACCTTTACAGTGGTTAGTATATCAGGCTATGTATGTTCTAGCATCAAAGCAATGTTAATAAACAATATGGTCAGTATTTATGGTAATTATGTATTTTCTGGCAGTGGCAAAGCCTCTTTTTCTGAGCTGTTAACTTCATTCTGTTCATGTGAACTATGGCAAGCCTTTGAATTAGGGTTTTGAATCATGCATTGTTACTACTTCCTCCTTTCATGTGCACTGTGATTTTATCCTCAAAGCTCAAAGAAATTACAAATAATCCTACCTGCAAACAGTACTGGAACCTGTTTAACTTGTTCTTATTCTTTTTCCCCCCCTGGTATTGGTATTTAAATTCTAAGTGAAGACTTTGTTCATTAAAATTGGGAGAATATACTAAACAAATTTTATAAAAAAAGAGAACTGGAACTCATAATGTAGTATATAACTAACAGACTTTAAATTTTCACTTAACATTTATATACAGACCATTAATTGAAATTTCTGGTGACAGTGATAATAATACATTTTTAAGGGTTTCTTAAACAGTTAAACCAAATGAGAAACAAAAACTTTCTGAATGAGAATAATAATGTAAATGAAATTCTGTAAACAAGTCATCATTTGTCACATTTCACAGACATTAAGGATGCAAAAATAATGAACATTAGCCTCACTTAAAGAATAACCGTAAATTGTTCATTCCTTTTGACCCAGATTCCAAAACATCCTATTAACATAAACTAGAAATTGTAAAGATGTTATTTTGATAAACTTTAATCATAACTTATGTAGATTACTATTTTTAAATGGATACCTTTGTGTTTAAGAATGTTTTGTTTTTCTTCTGATATCTAAAATTAAGTATAACTTTGTCATGTTGGAGACAGAACTCACCTCTGAATACAAATTTCCATATGTGCTTCACGCATTTTAGCTTCTTTAATTTGCGTCATTTGAGCAGCATAGCCTTGTTTTTGGTTGGGCTTCTAGAGACTAAATAATTAGCCAATTCAAGTAAATTCTTATTTCAACATTAATTTTTAAAATATTTTATGCAGGTAGTATGAAATAATGGAAAGATTATAAACCCAAATTCAGATTTAGGTTCAATTTCTGCCTCCTAATAATTTTACCTTTGGCAAAGATTTAAGTATTCTGGGCTCTTCATGTCTGTATACTAATAATGCCTGCTTTGCCTGTCTCACATGTTTGCTATGAAAATCAAATCAGATAACATGTAAGAAAGGACCATTTAAACACTAAGGTGAAAATTGGTCTAAACAAATAATGCCGTATGTCTCCATCATAAGTGAGGTACAAGTGGTAGTGATCACCTTCAGCTAGCACAGAGCAGAGCAAGACCAAATTCAGAGGAAAAGCCCTGACTGAAGAATGTTCTATTCGTTTTTGAAAAAAGGTGACTAGGCTCCATGAACAGTAAGTTGTGCTACATGAGCAATAAAGTAACAAGTAAACACATATAAAAATGAGTACAAATCTAGAGTGTTAGAGCTAGAAAGCATCCAGGATTTTCTAGCCACAGCCCCTTATTTTATAAATGAGGAAACTGAACAGGGTTATCCAGTAAGTTTTATAGTGGCAAACTAAGATGCCTTTCTCAGGGTGGTTAAGGAGATACAGGTTTTGAAATTAATTGTATAAGGCATCAAATCACAATTTTATCACTGACTTAGAATGTAACTTCAGGCATAACCTCTCTAAGCCTGTTTATCTGTAACTTGGGACTAGTAATAAACTCATCTATTGAGTTGTAGAAAAGGAGATGGTATATGTAAAATGCTCAGCACACTTATGGTACATGATATACACAATAAATGGTGCCTTTATTATTACTATTATTTTTAGCTATTACACAGAATCTTCCAAAACATTATTTGCTCCCCCTGCTTAATTTGTTCAAAATAATGGCTAATATTCCAGCTATCTTTCACTGAAACAACCCAAACAGTAATCTTCATGTGTCCCCATTGTGCAAACTACAAGTATGGAGAAATTGTTTCTGTATCTCGGTGTTGAAAAGAGAAGGCTATTCTTAAACAGTTTAAAAACATTAGGAAGTTTAAAAATAAAAGTTGGAAAATTGAAATGATCATCTACTTATTGTCTAAGTTGTCATAATTTAATGGTTTAGGTGGTTAAGAAGTATGGCTCATGGGCCTTATGGGACATGAAAATCATCTCCCCCTAACCCCCAGCACTTTTCTTGAATAAAATGACAGACTTGTTTCATTTAACCCACTAAATATCTATACACCACCCCC